CATACTAAGGAGCACAAAACAAGAATCTTGAACAACTTACCAAATATGGACAATGCTGGATCCAACAAGGGTGGCAGGAATGGTGTCCAGGATTCTATGAGACGTCTCCGCCCTGATGCTCCTAATCGTGATAATTCACGGATAAGCAAAGCTTGCGCTGCTTCTCGTATCTCCACACAGCTGTCTTGCCATCTTTAGAAAGGTAATTTAGAGAATTGACCGAGACTCACTAGAAAGATAGAGATAATAGGCTAACCTTCTGGCAAGAAGTTCGATGCGTGGCGCTGCATAGCTGCTCCTCGGGTGAACATGGTCGGGTAATAGGACGCAGTGCAATGCTGCTAAGAGGCTCCATCCTAAAAACATTGTGAATGATTTATGAGTAAGGGATTCGACACCGAACCTTGTTTTAGCTGTTGCCTTTCACTTATGAGTCCCTCCTTCGTCGTCTTGCGCGCTAGTGGAGGTGCACTTGCCAAGGAGCTGCGTCGGGTGTTCCTTAAACAAAACTGTGTCTTTGGGAGAAACCAAGGAATTAATAAAAAAAGGTAATCAACTTTAAACTGATGAGAACCGAACTTACTCGATTTGTGAAGCTGCATTCCTCATACCCATCAAAGTGTTGGCTGTAGAGATGACTGCTAACAAGTGAGTGGTCGTCAAGGAATGACTAGCCTGCAAGCAGGAAAAATATGACAACCTTCCAGACATCGTATACAAGCTTCTTAAAACGTGAAGAGATTTACCTGCCACCGAAGATCCGTCGAAAATGTATCGAAGGTTCGCTTGGTACGTTGCGGTAATACGACAGACAATTGTCCTGAAATACAACATCAGTGATGCGTCAAAAACAACGATGTCACTTACCATGTCTGGAAACATTTCCAAAGTAGAGCTGCTGTTTGGGCTTATTCAAGGCCAGTTTCTTTACACAGACAGCATCAAGATCTTTATCGAGATTCCAGGCATGCAGAAATGACAAAAGCAAACGAGCGATATCCAGATAAAGATTCGACTCGAACTGCCACATGAGCCTCCTAAATTTTAGGAGGTGATCAAATGTTCATAAATTCA